TAATGGATAGCCGCTAGTAATGTGGGAACAGACGGTCAGGTTATAATGGATAGCCGCTAGTAATGTGGTAACAGACGGTCAGGTTATAATGGATAGCTGGTAGTAATGTGGTAACAGACGGTCAGGTTATAATGGATAGCTGGTAGTAATGTGGTAACAGGGTCAGGTTATAATGGATAGCATAGTACTGTGGTAACAGGCGGTCAGGTTATAACGGATAGCCGGTAGTAATGTGGTAACAGGCGGTCAGGTTATAACGGATAGCCGATAGTAATGTGGTAACAGACGGTCAGGTTATAATGGATAGCCGCTAGTAATGTGGTAACAGACGGTCAGGTTATAATGGATAGCCGCTAGTAATGTGGTAACAGGCGGTCAGGTTATAATGGATAGCCGCTAGTAATGTGGTAACAGACGGTCAGGTTATAATGGATAGCCGCTAGTAATGTGGTAACAGACGGTCAGGTTATAATGGATAGCCGCTAGTAATGTGGTAACAGACGGTCAGGTTATAATGGATAGCCGCTAGTAATGTGGTAATAGACGGTCAGGATATAATGGATCGCTGGCTAGAGATGCTGGGGAGAGTCAGAAAGAATAGAGACTCAGCCAGTTGGTGGCTATTATCAGTGTGGTGTAACTAGAGGTGCAGCCGTGAGTCAGGGATGTGGGCTAAGGGAAGCCTGGCTCCTATAGATGCTGGCAGGGCTGCCATCAGAAATTTCAGGGCCCCTGACACAGCTCAAGATCTGGGCCCCCGGGGCCAGCCCTGAGTCCGCCCACAAAGATGAAGTGTGTGTGTGTGTGTGTGTGTATAGTGGATGTAGAATGTGTGTCATGGATGCAGTGTGTATAGTGGATGTGGAATGTGTGTCATGGATGCAGTGTGTATAGTGGATGTGGAATGTGTGTCATGGATACAGTGTGTATAGTGGATGTAGAATGTGTGTCATGGATGCAGTGTGTATAGTGGATGCAGATTGTACGTTTTGTGTAATGTTCGTATGCATGCATTAGATGCAGAGTGTGTGTGTGTGTAGTGGATGTAGTGTGTGTACAGTGAATGGAGAGTGTGTGTTTTTGTAGTGGATGTAGTGTGTGTACAGTGAATGCAGAGTGTGTGTTTTTGTAGTGGATGTAGAGTGTATAGTGCATGTAGTGTGATTGTGGTGAATGTAGTGTGTATAGTGCATGTAATGTATGTAGTGTGTTTTAAGTGAGTGCAAAGTGTGTATAGTGCATGTAGTTTGATTGTGGTGAATGCAGAGTGTTTGTAGTGAGTGCAAAGTGTGTTTGGTAAATGTAGTGTGTTTGTAGTGAATGCAGAGTCTGTTTAGTGAATGTAGTATGTGTGTGTGTGTGTTTAGTGAATGTAGTGTGTGCTTGTAAGGATTCAGTGTGTGTGTAAAATAGGGGGTGGGGAGTATTTTTCTTTTAAATCTATTTGTGTATTTTTAAATTTTATTCCCTGCTTCTTACCGTGCCAGGGAGGGGGGAGATCGCATTGTGGAGGGAGCCAGCCGCGGTACATGGCAGAGAGGGGGCCCAGCAGTACACAGAGTCTTCCTTTCCAACTCCTCTCTGACTAACTCTCGCAAGACCGGCCTGCGTGCTGTGCGGAGCGTTGCCATGGTAACCCGTGGCAACGCTCTGGCGGGGGCAGGAAAGTTAGACAGAAATCAGCTGGAAAGGAAGACAGAGTGTGCTGCTGGGCCCCCTCTGCAATGTAAAGGTAGTAGGGGGCCCGCAGTGCACATATGGAATGTTTGGCTCGGACTCCCAGAGCAGTCCGGGCCCCCCAGGACCGCTGGGCCCATGACAACCGTTATGGTTGTCATGCCCTGATGGCGACCATGGATGCTGTGGATAAAACAAGGGGAATGTGGGTTAGAAGGGATCTTGATTGATGGCTAATGTTAGTGTGGGTTGAAACAGTCAGCCAACAATTGATTGGGGATCAGCAAAGTTATTTATACATCGTATAGTATGAACTATACAAAATATAACAAGACAAAAAAAAAAGACATTCCTCATTAAATCTTGTATAAATAGCTTTAAATAATTTTGTGCATTTTAACAATACAAAAAAGTACAATTATTAGTATAAAAACAACCAATATTAAACACAAACTTAAGGATTTGACTTACAATTTCGCATACATACATTGTTCAAAACCATTAACTTATTATGTGCTAAGATTTCATCTAATCGTGCTTGGATTTATCAGGCATCTCTAGTTTATGCTGATATACTGCAGGACAAGGGTTACTTGGCAATTTTAATTACTTTTTTTGTCATTTTAGGGTTTGTGCATACTGATAACATGAAGACGGCAGTGGTTTTGAGTTTTGATAGGAGCTGCCACCAATCACGGTACAGTAGAGCGGTCTCGATACCTACATATATCTGTGCCCCTTCTTGGGATATGCTTTTGGTATTTTCATTCAGAAATACATTGGAATAAGTACATAGTTTGACATTTTTCACCATTTGTGTGTCTCCTGCTCATTAACCTCACCACGTAACTTAGTTGTACTGCTTAGCTGCCAAAAATGTAGAGTATATAGATATTTATAAAACCTTCCAATTAGCTCCAAATCATCCAGCAACATGGTGGCAGAGAAATGTCTCACACATAACCCTAAACACTTGTCCTATCACTTCCCTGGGTGGCCATAACTATGATTTTTCTAAGAATGCTTATGTAGAATGGATACGGCAAGGTTTGTGTTAAGTACTGCTTCCCTGGAGACTGTAGATAAGAACCCATCATTTAAGGGGCAGTATCATTGACATTTAATACTATTGGAGGGATGGCAATACTAATTTATTCACGTGCTATACTTTATGTGATGGTGATCTTCTGTTTTATTTACCTTGTAAAAGCAAAGAAATATATTGTCTTAGTTGTAAAGTGTAGCTTTTATAACTGAATATTGCTACCTTTTGGCTGGAATAACTGCAGTTTACAATAAACTTTTTATTGTACTTGAGATTGCAGTTTTACACATTTCATATACTCCGTTATTTCATATCTATCAAAAAGCCAGATTCCTTTTTGTATTGCACAATTAATGCTTTGTGGATCACTGTTATAATTGAAGCACCTTGCTACAGTTTACTGTAATAAGATTAACATCTGCAGCCTGGTAATACAGAGGTCTGCAGTGTATCATGGATTCTAATTCTTAGAATAACAGAGAAAGAGAGGCTCATTTGTGGGGATCTGTGTAATCAACACTGTACGGTTGCCCCAGAGCATTGACATTATCAGTTTGAAAACGCTTTGAAACTACATGTTCTGGGTATCAAAATCATCCTGCACAACAAGCCTATAAATTATTAAATAATTCAATAAATAGAATCAAACCAAAATCTATTAGTAAGTTGTGCACACATTTGAATAGGGCACGGATTTATAGCAACATTGATAACCTGTTGAGTTTGGTGCATTGCTAGTGTATGGTCAAATCTCAGATTGACTTCTATGGGTTAAGGTTAATTATAAGTCTATGAAAAATAACCTTTTTGGTTAACCCCCCCACCTTCCCTCACTAGCTGACTTTTTGGGTGATTAGCGTTAAAACATGGTATTCTTTAATTAAGCATTATTATCCCACAACAATCAGTGAGCTAGTAGGAAATAGACCCCTTTCTGCTGTTATTGATGTTAGAATCCATTCTACAGAGTTTGTATTGGTAGCACCATGTGAAGACACCAGGTTCAGTGTGATGTCACGATAGCAGCAAGATTGTCTGCAAGCATGCCCCGTTTACATACAGCTTTATGCGTATATCCTTTCCATCATTCTAATTAATTAAGGTTTGTACAAACTACCATATATACCTGTGATAGAAGCGCTTGCCACTGCAGTAGTTTGATAACTAAATTTGTCTTATTGCTCAGTCAGCCTCAAGACTAGCCATCACTGCACTAGGCAGTGTATACTCACTTAGGGACCTGAGTTCCCCCTGGATACCAGGAGACTAAAAAGTAACATATGAATAGTACCATATTCATGGCTGTATTTTGATAATTTTAATGGTCTATTTTAGTATTGTATTGTTCTTTACGACCCCTTTGAAAATGAGTTTGAAGAGCATCAGCAGTAAAGCAGTCTATCAAATTCATTAATTTTGCATCTTGTTCCCAAGCCTCTACAAGCAGTAATCACATTTACCGGCACCTCCTGTCTCTTGGCCAGCACTCTATGCAATATGGCACAGTGTTTTGGATAGCTTCCTGCACTCTCAGACTTTTCCTCCTTAACTTTGTGTTAATATCATAATTATTATTTGCAAGTCAGTATTAAATAGTTTGGGTTTCCAGACCCTACTTTCAGTCCACTAAGCGGGAGTTCTCACCTCCACCAAGTTCCTTTAATGTTTGAGTCCAAGTTGGTTGAATTGCTCACCAGGAGTCCCCTTTGGGAAGTCCATGAGTCAAGAGGAACCCCAGAGTTCTTTGAAAGCGGGGTTTCTGTGTGGCCTCCCTGAAGCCTTAAAGATTTAAGTCCACCAGGGATGGATGCCATCTGGCTGATGAAATCAATAGTTCAAGGAGAAATAATAGCCATCAGTGATGGACCTGCCAACATCAATGGCTTGCTTTAGACCAAGCAACATCGGGAGCATCTTGTGTGGTTCAGGAAATTGCTCTATTGCAAAAGTTTCAATCAACAATTAAACAGTCTATTTACGAAGAGGCTTTCTCTATAAATAGTGATATACATTGTGTTGATTGCCCATATTTTAAAGACTCCTTTGAGAGCTACAAAGCATAGTTGGTTGCTGATGGCAAAATGGAGCTTTAACATTAAATTGCCCATAAGAGAGCAACTTATGTGTTTCGAGAACTTCAGACAAAAGACGTTTAGAAATTACCTTTAAGCTTTGAGA